AGGTTTGTAGACACTTGGGAAGTGGTCACTTATCTAGGTATTCAGTCACTTTGCTCACCTTTCTCCCTTTGGGCTAGTAGAAGGGTTCTGGTGAATTTTTCCTTTTCATATTAAAATTCTTCATATCTTAAGATCATCTTTGTGTTCTGAAGCTTGCTCTAGTCTGCCTGTGAGCTTTCTGTGTGAGTGTCCCTGCTCAGGGGCACCCTGTGGATTTCTCTCGCCAAGGATTTTCTGAGCTTTCTGTCTTACACAGGAGAGATAAAGATAAATATAAACCTATCTAGGCAGCATCTTCAAATAAGGAAGAAATAGGGTGAAGGAAAATAAAGGAGCAGAGGAGAGAAACAAGTATGAAATGAAACCCTCTAACCTAGGTATTAATAACTAAGTCTAAGTAGAGATAGAGATAGATAACAGAAAGAAAAATTCCTTTGAAATATTTTTTAAGATTAAAAAAAATCCCATCCTGAGTTTATTTAAAAAAAGGCTTTGGATTATTACATTTCATCTATACTTTATAACAATGGTTCAACAGGTTCAAAACAAAAGGGAGAGGGAATAACTTCAGGATTTAGAATATGACATGCTCATTTTCATGTAGTGCAAAAACTCTTAAGAAATAGGAATGCAGACTTCTGATATTCCACATTATTTATACAATAAAAAGTGCCAGACTTTATGTTCACTTATGCCTATAAGCAGACTTTATATTGTATTTAAATCTGATTTGCATATTAACCCTTTATCCGATGTGTTGTTGGCAGATACGTTCTCCCATACAGTAGGCTCCCTTTTTGTTTTGTTGATGGTTTCCTGTGCTGTGCAGCAGCTTTTTATTTTGATGCAGTCCCATTTGTTTATTTTCTCCTTTGTTTCTCTTGCCCTAAGAGATGTATCAGCAAACATATTGCTATGAGAGATGTCTGAGATTTTGCTGCCTACGTTTTCTTCTAGGATTTTTATGCTTTCATGTGTAACATTTAAGTCTTTTATCCATTTTGAGTTTATTTTTGTGTAAGTGGGTGGTCTAGTTTCATTCTTTTGCATGTACCTGTCCAGTTTTCCCAGCACCATTTATTGAAGAGACTGTATTTACTCCATGGTATGTTCTTGCCTCCTTTGTCAAATATTAATTGAGTGTTAGGGCTTGAGTCAATTCCTGGGTTTTCTGTTCTGTTCCACTGATCTATATTTCTTTTCTTGTGCCAGTACAAGGCTGTTTTGACACATTTGATAAAGGGTTAATGTCCAAAATATATAAGGAACTCATACAACTTAACAAAAGGAAGACAAACAATCCAATTAAAAAATGGGCAAAGGACCTAAATAGACACTTTTCCAAAGAGGACATACAGATGGCCAAGAGACATGAAAAAATGCTCAGTCACTAATCATCAGAGAGATGCAAATTAAAACNACACTTCTCCAAAGAGGACATACAGATGGCCAAGAGACATGAAAAAATGCTCAGTCACTAATCATCAGAGAGATGCAAATTAAAACCACGATGAGGTATCACTTCACACCTGTCAGAATGGCTCCATCAACAAGTCAACGAACTACAAGTGCTGGCGAGGGTGTGGAGAAAAGGGCACCCTAGTACACTGCTGGTGGAAATGCAGACTGGTGCAGCCACCATGGAAAACAGTATGGAGGTTCCTCAGAAATTTAAAAATTGACCTGCCATTTGACCCAATGATCCCATTTCTAGGAACATATCCTAAGAAACCCGAAACACCAATCACCTATGTTCATAGCAGCGCAATTCACAATAGCTAAGACCTGGAAACAGCCCAAGTGCCTATCAGTAGATGAGTGAATAAAAAAATCTGTGGGACATTTACACACATGAAATACTATGCAGCTGTAAAGATGAAGGATCTCTTACCCTTTGGGACAGCATGGAGGGAACTGGAGAGTATTATGCTAAGCAAAACAAGCCAGTCAGAGAAAGACACATACCACATGATCTCACTCATATGTGGAATTTAATAAACAAAATAAACTGATGAACAAAATAAATCCAGAGACATAGAAGCATGGAACAGACTGAGGAATCTCAGAGGGAAGGTGGGGGTGGGGGGAGTG